ACTTGCATAAATTATCTCATGTCCTACATTCTGGTATCAGCAAGAAGAGATCTTACCTTCCTCTTCAGCCCAGTGTTCTAGGAGCTTCCTTTATATTTTATCCCTGCCTGGAGCATCATAGGTCTAAGCATTTTAATTTTTTACAAGGCATTCAAGTACATGGGTCACAGGAGCAGCTACAATCTGGCCTATGAGGAAGAGTGGGGATCAAGCCAAATAGAGCACACCACTCCTGTTTGCCCTTTAAGGCTCTGTCCATACTGGGCTTAAGCAAGCCTTTATTTTTGGGGGGCTGCTCACCATTTATAAAAGTGTTGTGTAAGGATTTGTGACCAAGCTGAGAAGCTTTCAGACAACTTCTACAAAAGATATTACTATTAGGCAAATAGGTTAGAAATAACTCTGAAATTATGTGAGGTTCATGAATTCAGTCCTGCTGTAGTGTTCTTAAGACCTGCCTTGAATCTAAACTAATACACATATTGGTATTACTGGTCTAGGCTTTTGGGTCCAGGAGCATTATGCTCTGAAGAGATGTTGGACCAATTGATAACAGCTATCAAGTTTTCTCAATGAAATCCTGACATTGTTCAAGGTGTCAAATCAGGAAGCCATTCGAACTTCTGAATCTGAAGAATGGAAAGGCAAATCATTAGCTGAGTCAGTAGATTCCCTCTTGTAATATGATATATGCTTTCTCAGCAACTGCAGTCAATCAGACAAAGCATACCCAAGAAGCACCATGTTGGCAACTGAAAAAGAGCTTTATGATAAATTAAAAACTTGATACATTCTCAGGCAGAGTTCAAGTGTTGTCTGTGAAATCAGAGCAAATTTTACTTACTAATCAAAGGAGAAGCATAATTCAGCAGCTCTCTGAATCATTGTTCTGTTTTTACTTGGAAATTAGATGCCAATACAACAGCTTCTCAACTGCACAGTCCTTAATGGAATAAGCCAGGATCACAAATCCCAAACATTTCATTTGCCAGTACAGGCACGAAGGCAGACTTTCCATGCTGACAATCACACGAGTGGCTTCTTAGTCACACATACTCCTCCCCTTCCCAACCTTAAGTCATCAAGTTTTCCATCATAGCACAAACATCCTCCCATGCAGAAGGTTATACCATGTTATCTCTCTTTTGGAAATCTAGCAGGAGCCAAACGCACTCCTTGCCTCAAGAACGGGACTGTGTCCTTTACATTCCCCTCTCCTCAAGTCAAAACTTGAGCCTGGTGTCGTCACTGCTCCTAGCATTGAGGTTATGGGCATGCTGTATTAAGAAGGCAGCAACTACTGGGTAGTAATTACTACCAACTACTAAGCAAGCTGCTTATTGCTGAATAAGGAATAGAACACAAATCTCATCAGTAGCACACCACACTGGCTGTTAGCATTTTCCCATTCTTAATTATGTTTGGCCTTTTTGAAGCACACTACCCTTTTCAGGTGAGGATCCAAAGAATAGTAACTAGCTGCTTGCCACATGTGAATAACCCCACATCTACTTGGTCCTCAGGATAATGGTTGATTATCTCTCAGTATTTATACATGCAGCATGAGTAGAAGAGCTATAAAAAAGAGGCCCATAGCTGTGTGCTAGAGCACATGTTTTGCATGCAAAGGATCCTAGGCTCAGTGCCTGGTTTCTCCTGGTAGAGCTAGGAAGGAGACCTGCCAGAAAGCCTGGGCAGTCACTGCCAGTCCTTGGCTAGGTGTACCAAGGACCCTGTTCAGTAGAAGGCAGCTTCTGTGTTTCTAAGAGGCAGATTTAAGGTCTTTAGTCTCCCTACCAGCTTCAGGGCAAAGCATGAAGGTTTAATTATGCGTGCTTCATTAGATCCACCATGCTGAAACCTTCTATGGGCTTGAATCCAGTAGAAACATAGAAACACAGAAACAGAGTGAGTCAGGAGGGGTCTCCCGGGCCATCTAGTCTGATCCCCGGCTCCAGCTGGCTCCACTCATGACCTGCCCACCATGTGCATGTCCAGCCTATCTTTGAACACCCTCACCGATGGGGCCTCAATGACCTCTCGTGGAAGTAGTAGATCCTATTACTTGCCTAGGCATGGATCCTGGGAGAACAATGCCTACCATGTATTCCCAGCAGAGGCAGGGGGAGAGCCAGTGGCAGAACAGTCACTGTGCAATGGAATTGGGCTGCCCTAGGGCTGCACCACTTCTGAAACTGGGTCAAGGAAGCACAAGCACATTGGACTCCCATCCCCACCTGTGCTGCTGGAAGAACATCTACACCAACAGAGCTTTCCAATAGCATCCAGGAGAAGGCATAAGCGTCATCCCATCAGCATGTGCCCATGGGCAACAGCAGAACAACTTTGATGACATTTCTTATGGTCCCTCAAGAGACTTTCTAGTGAGGCTTTGAATATTTAAGACTGCAATTCCACTTCTGTTCACCTGGGAATAAACTTAATTGGGAATTCATTGGGATGTATCATGGAATACACATACATAAAGGATCTTGCTGTAAGTTTTTATAAGGTTAGCATTTTCCTTACTTTGTTCCCAAGCTTAGACCCCTAAAAATCTAGTTTTTTATTGCTGCTATTAAAAACAATTTATTTATTTATTATTTTATTTAAAACATTTGTATGCTGTCCTTTACAACATCTCAGGACAGCTTACAACATTAAATATATATGTTGTCTAAAATTAAAACCACCAGGTCACTAATCATCATGTGATGCAAATCTAGTCATCAACTGAACTGAAGTTCCTCATTTTGGCGTACACCAGAAGAAATGAATCATGTTTAGTGCTGAAACACTATGCAGACTGACTTGGGAGTAAGTCTCAATCAAAGGAATGTTACTTGCGCTGCAGCGAGAATGATTAGGACTAGGTGGCAGAAAGGTATATTTACAAATTAATTCAGTGAGATTTAAAAGGGCTTAATTTAAGGTGTCTCATAATCATAATACAATTAAATACAGACCTTTAAAATACAAAATACCATTATTTCTATTGATACATAATAGAATTTTAATTGTATCTGTTTAGTATATTATTAAATACAGTAAATACCCTTTCTTCCCCTTGATCAGTCAAAAGTAGATTCACAAGGGAGAGCTTGCTCTTGGTGTCTTCATTTCTCGCTTGCTCCATTCTCCCAATTCTGCTTTTTCTTTGTATCAGAACAGCTCCATTTATAATTATTTCCAAGGAGAGAGAGAGCTGCATCTGGGGCAGTGACTGACCTCCGGGATTGGTGCAAACAGCCATTCATGCAGCAACGATAACAGTGCCTCTGATTATGGCCTTGGACAGGTAGATAAGTAGCTATTGACTCATAGTGGTAGCCAGTGGCATAAGGACCTGCACAAAAATCACAAATAATAATAAAAACCAAAGCTAAAATGCTTCAGGTGCATGCTGGGCATGATTGACTGTCTCAAGCTGTGGGCATTAAATGAAGAAAGATCTTTGCGCCGGATAAGTGTGACTGCCTGGTGTTCATCAGCACAAAGGGGTTAGCAGCAACATCCTTCCCTCGTAAATCTATTTTGCACGCATTTGGGGCCATTTGCAACCTGAAATCAGATGTAACTGAAAGACAGAACAAAATATAGCTGAAATATATGCTTCTAGGGAAAGCAAAAGCCAGCTTTTTTAAAAGGAAAGCCCACACAGAATGGAGCAGTGTAGAAACGGGAGATTTTAAACATCCCTTTGTTATGTGCTTGAGCAAGCAAAGCCATTAATTATACAGCACAACTTCTACAATAGAAGTGACATTCAGATTACAGAGAAATTAGAACTAGAGTTTTCATAGCAGGGAATTTCAGAGACACTGCGTTTCCTATTAAAATGCTATTTTGTGCAAAATACTTGTAATTCTGTAAACTGGGTAGCTTTGCACCTCCAGCCTTTGAAAACTGTAGCTTAGTCTCACAGCAGCTTTTGTGGGGTTACCATCTGCAACTGGCATCCTTGGACAGGAGCCATTACTGCTGGTGGCCCTGGAGCTTTCTTTAATATTTTCCTGCTGGCCTAGGCAGCCAGGTCTAGCCACCATTTTAAGGCCCCACAATGCCTCAAACACACGAGGATATTGTGTGAAATTGCAAAGGGGACTACTCTAGGTCACCCGTTGCTACCCATATGCTGCTGAGCATCGCCAGAGCTCCCTGTGGGTGCCCATGGTCCTGGAGCCTGCTGAGCTTCCATGAAGAAAGGCCACCTCTCTGTTGAGATGCCCCCAGGGGATGGAACATGTGCCTGCCCTCTCTGGATATACTGCCCCATACAGTCCCATCATGACATTACTCACCACTAGTATGGATAAGAGATGCAAACTAAGATATTTGTTAAGGAAATTATAAACAGAAGGGAATAGAATGGAATAGAGAACAGGATGGGGTTGCTTAAATGAACTTATATTACATATCCTTGGTTACCCTGGCTACAAAGTAGAAGTCTTCCCTAGCTGGTAAGCTTTTCCCTCAAACTGGAGCAAAACCCCTGGCAGTCCCTCACAACCAGGAGCTAATGATGTACAGCCATCTTCTGCCTCAAACTCTTCTTCTGACTACTGGCTTCCAGGATGGCTATATTCCATGGGCTACCTGCCAAAGTTCCTCTGGTCTGTTCTCTAGAACTCTCTGCTGCTGGCTTCTGTCGCTTGCCTGAATCTTCACACCACACATGGCAGTTGCTCAGTTCATCTTAGCCACCATCTCTGGCATTCAGAACATTCAGATAAGTTCCCTGAAATCAAGATTTCCCTTTCAGCCAACAACCATGAAAATGTCTAACACTTCTACCAGAGCATGCTTTTTCAAATTTCCTAGGACCCCTTAATTTTCAAGTTAGCCTGCATAGTGCTTCAGCTTTTTATCTTTATGGGACACACAAAAGCTAACTTGGCCAGCAGTTGGGTGGGACAGAACCATCAAATGTAGACTCGAAGGTCTGAATCTGAAGGCACCTTGCAGTCTGCAAGGGGTCCACTTATTTTTCAGTGACCAAGATGTGTGACAAACCAGATCTGTCTGAAGTCATAAAGTCTGATAAGAAGAAATGAAAGAAAACTAATATGGAAGAGAAGAACTCCCTTCCAAGGAGACCATCAGACAGGAGAAAGAGGATATGAAGGCCTCCTAGAGATGCCCCCTCTCCATCAAAGTGTCAACATTTTCCCTTTTTTGTCTTTCTGTTTTAGAATTGACTGGATTTTTTAAATGCCATGTCTACTGAGGATGTTGTATCCTTCTTTTGCAACCATCTCTGCGTTGCTTCTTTGCGTCCCTCCAAAGTTTGGTCACAGCTGCCTTCCTTTGATTTGGCTTCCTTCTTCGATAACTGCTGATGCTTGACATGAGAAGAGAAATTACACAGAAACGGGCTTCCAAGGCTCTTTTGCGTGGGTTCTCTCTCCCCAGCATCCCACCAAGCCAAATCCCTTTTCTTCCTTCCCTTCCCCTTCCTGCCAGATGGGGCAATGCCAGTATCTGAGGCCCACCAGATCCATTGGCATATCATTGTTTATGCAGCTGTGCCCTCAATTGCACCTGAAGGCAGCTGGACAGCTTATGGGACACAGGACAACCTACTTGGCAAGCAGCTGTCTCTTTCAACACCCTGCTGCCACCTCCCAGCATCTGCCACTTGAGCTGGCTGCCTCACACTGCTGAATTCTGGAGCCAGGCCCACCTGTTGGCACCAGTGGGCACTTCCCTTTTGATGCAAGCAGCAGCTTCAGATGGGCAATGCTCAGAAAGACCAGTGCAAGGAGAAAGCAGTTTCATTCTCCCACAGCCCCTGTGGTAACAAACACTGCTCTCCCCTTCTGCAACTGCCAGTTACTTCTCCTTCTTGTTTAAACATTGCATTAAATTGTGTGAATTAAGTGATTTCATGAAATGATTGGATATTGCGAAGAACAAACCAAGGATTGATGTTTACCCTGGAATCATTCATCCAGTTCAGACTGGTATGTTTTTAGCTATGTACCCCATGGATGCAGTCCTAAGCATGAAGAGGCAGGAAAAACCCTCCAATCCCCAGTTTGTCACAGCCAGCAAGTAGAACCCTATTCTGCTTAAACATGCATGGGATTATGCCCCAGCGGATTCTCACTGAATTTCCCTACTCTTCAAATTTAAACGTGCATTTAATGCCAGGCCAAGATAGGGTGTGTTAGCATGAAAACAAAATACATTCTATGTGCCATTTCAGAACAAAGCCACATTTCTTTCTTTTACACTTGGGCTAGCATGGGGAAGAGCTAGTGCAGTACATAATATAGATTAGTGACTCATCCCAAAGATTTTTCTCCATCTTTGTAAAAACTAATGTTGCTATTGCTTGTGTTATTTTACTTTAGAGTCAAGCAAGCTACCAAAAATGTAAAAACTTTTTAGGTAAAATCAGAAGGAAAATGCTTGCAGGATCAAATTTGTTATTCCAGAATTGGCTTGCCTTATTGCATTGTTTTTCCCCATTTAACTTTCCTAAAAAAGGTACTTCTTTCCCCATTTATTTTATGTCTCTGTTTCTTTCCATCCCCACCAACTCTGTAACTAAGGTCACATATTCTATCCTTTAGCCACCAAAGAAACCTCACTCTTCAAATGGATTCTTCTTTTTTAAAATTTCATTCCTTGTTTTTGGGATTTCACAGCAGCTGCCAGTTGAAGTTTTTGCCATTTGTAGCAGCAGCATAAAATCCCTTACCTGAGAGAATGAGAGAGAGAGAGAGAGAGAGAGAGAGAGAGAGAGGCCAGCCTGCCAATTGGGAGCCCTACCACTAAGAAATAGCTGAGCAGTCCTTGTCCCAATTTCTCTGCCCACAAATAGGGAAGAGATTTTGCAGAGGACATTTGTCCCTAACTCAAAAAATAAATAATACTTTATTACTTCATAAAATGAACAGGAACATAATAAGCTGTCCTTTCCAGGGTCAGGCTCCGTGTCCATGTAGCTCTGTATTACCTCTCTGACTCTTCTGGATCTTTCACATCACAGGTCAGAGCCTGAGATCTTTTATATTTGGAATGCCAGCGACTGAACCTGGACATTTGGAGTGTAAGGGGTGTACTCCACCACTGAGCTATGGCCGCTTCCCAGGAGAAAATCCAAAGACTACCTCTCCCTGAAAAGATGAAATGAACCCCTCCAGTTCCTGCAGTGCAGCATCACCACCAACAAAGGCACAGTTAGAGGTAAGTCAACCAAGAACCCCTAGGGGAAATGCTGCAGCCTGCCTCCACTGCTGTGAACCTCTAGAGGCCCACGGATGTTTTGAGGAAATGGCATCATCATCAAGCAAATGCTAAAATTTCCCACACTCTCTGCATTATTTTATGCACTGTTTGGGTGACATAAAGTTTAGACAAAAACATGGGATATTTAAACATACTTTTAACATTATATATGTATGTATGTTGATATATTTAAGTTAGGAACATCTGTGATAAAAGATTGGCAAATTTTAAAGAGAAAGGCAATTTGTTCTGGGTCTTACATTTGGGCAAACTGGATAATCTAAAATATTTGCTGGTTGTTTCCCAAATTAACAGTAGTATCATTTTTAGAAATCCAAAATCTATTAAATTAATAAAAACAGAAAACAATAACAGCTGGCTGTATTCCAGCATCTGAAAGCCTCAGGGTAGCTAATTTTTCTTATGTAGTTTGTTAGCTCCCCCCCCCCCCACAAAAATCTTGAATCCTTGTTTGGTGGAGGGGAAAAATAGATTTAATTTCAAATGAGAAAATGAACTCCTGATTTGTATACCTATTAGTGATATGATTGACTATAATTTAAATGCCACTTTTCCACAAAGCAAACTGTGTTCAAGGCAGTGCATGTTATATACTTGTAACATAAGCAAGCACAAAAGCAAAGTGAAACAATCCATAATACATGCAACAACTCATTAACAATTCATAATTTAAAAGAAACACAAACCAAATTCTATGCAAAAGATATTAAAATATAACTATACAAAGATACAACTGAGAAACGGGAGTGGCCAAAACCCAACAAGGAGCTTTTGCAGGCTCCCTGCATCACCTGAGGTGGCATGGCACAATGTCCTTTCCTCCATACGGCAGGGCAGTCTAACAGTATTCCTCACTGACCTTCCCTGCCGGCAGGGGACCTTGCTGACCGCATGCTCTGCCTCTTGTTCTGAGAACCCAACTCCTTTTACTTGGCCTCATGAATCCTTCCACACTATCTCACAGGGGGCTTTGATCATTTGACGCTTAGGCCTTCACCTTTGCCATGCAGCACAAAGTGTCGCAGTTTCCTTTTCCCCACTCTTCACCTTCTGCTGCTGTTGTCACAAGCAGGCATTCCAGTGGGTGCTCCTTGCTTGCAGAAGGCAAGAAATAGAGATAAGTGCCTGGTGGCTCAGCTGACTCAGTGACTTCAAGACAATGAAGACTCAGCTGGATCTTGTTCACATAGAAGGTCAATCACCGGGTGCTAGCCAAGGTGCAGTTTCTGATCCTACATAATCCAAAATTCTGAACTGAAGCTCAAATAGCATTTTCGACACCTTCCATCTCCAATCACTTTCGTAGCGAGGCCTGTGTTTGGATCAGTACTAGTGCTTCCCATGTGCAAAAATGCATGTCAAGTTGTGTTTTAAATTTTGTGAATGTTGTTGATTCAGCTGGACATGGTGCCTTCAAACTGAGGCTATTGATTTTGAAATGAAATTTTGCTTGAGTATAGTCTCCTGTGTTCTATTTTCAAATTTATAACTTCTTAAGGAAGTGGAGCTGACAAGACAAATGGGGATGATGGGATGAGCCCTGATTAGTTTCTCCTTTGGAGTTTCCAGCTCAGAAAGTTGCAGAAAATTCCAGTCTTTCCACTCATACCTGATCAAATGGTAGTGTACTCATCTATTCTTGAAAGGAGTTAGTGAAAACTTTAATTAGAGACTACTAACTGATCCTTGACTTCAGGGGAATACAGGCACCAGTTTTCACTTTGTGCAATGGCACTGGAATTATTTTGGCATTTCTTCCCTCATTCCTGTCACACAATTCAATCTGAGTTGTGCTTAGCTATAAATAAGTGACTGTATCAAAATTTAGACCAACATATTCTCATTTGATGTACATCTATTTGGAAGAATGAAAGCTAGATAGGTAATGTATGTGCTGAGAAATGCATTTGGGGGCCTGTCCAAAGGACAGCGATAGGCAGATGGAAAGCAGCTCTGTCCTCAGTCTTCCAAGGAATAAAGTGGGTGGTCTCTAATGGCACACCCTTGAAAGGACACAAAACTTGCTCATAGATTCATCTCAGTCAGGTTGATCTATTACCCAACACAAAGCCCAATGAAAGATTATAATTATCAGAAATGGGAGCTCCAACACAATGTTGTGGTGTGACTGGGTGTCAGTCAGCCCACAAGCCATTCTTTTATCCAGGTTTCTCTGTCCCAAAGAAGGGAGGTGCTTTAACTCAGTGGTGGAGTCCATGTTTTTCAGCCAGGTCCCAAGTTCAATCCCCAGCATCTCCAGGTAAGTCTGGAAAAAATCCCCTCTAAACTGCAGCTAGTCAGTATCAATGATGGATGCATCCATGGTCTGATGTAATATGCGCATGATTTCCCTTTTCCTTCTCCTTCTCCTTCGTCAGTATTCCCTAGTCACCAGAACAGCCATGCTGGATCAGACCAAGTGTTCATCTTCCCCAGCATTTTCTTCATAAATTGCCAACCAGTTGCTCATAAGATCCCACAAGCAGGGTATCAGTGCAACAGCTTGCACCCACCTAAACTGGATGCATTGGATGCCACTGATAGCCTTCTCCTCGGTGACATCTTGTGCCCTTTAAAACCATCCAAATCGGTGGATATGCTGTTTGAACAAGTACTTCCTCTCTGTCTTGAATCTCCTACCCGAATCCTCCTGAATCTGATCAGCTTCATGGAATGACCTCTAGAATTATGGGAGGGGGAGAAAAATCTCTCCCTTGCCATCTTCTCCACAACATGCATAGCTCTGAACACCTCTATTATGTCTCTCCTTATATATTTTTTCCTAAATTGAACATTCTCAGCCACTCATCATTAGGGGAACTGCTTGAAACCCTGGATCCTTTTAGTGACTCTTTCCCACAGTTTCCAGCTCTACAA